GATTGGAAAAGGTTAAGACAGTTCGTAGACTTCTGAGAGTTGCTGAACTGGTCCCTGACATGGTTTTCCATCTAAACACTGATGTATTAAATCACTATTGTACTACATTGTAACCCAATTATGAGGTTATTTTAAAAGTAAAGCAGTTCATTCACAGAGTTTCTAAAGATTTCATCTCAATTGTGTGAGTCTATTACATCATTCTGCATAGATAGCATGATTTTGTGGAACGGGAACTAAACTTGCAGTCTTTTAGTTTAAAACATTTTTGATTGCTACATACTAAAAAATATATTTTATATTGTGACCCAGTACTATGTATGGGTAGTTGTATATGTGTGTTCAAGATGGATGGATAGACAGATGTGTATTACCAAAACAAAAGTTTCACAAACCCATTTCTTACTATATGCAGTGCATTCAGATATTTCCATTGAATCTAATCCAATATATTCTATTTTGTTCTGTTTCATGTTGTAGAGAATGCTAGCTATATTCCATCAAATTGATTTCATGATGCACTAAGGGGTCCTAATATGAAAAATAATTCTACTGAAGACTGCTTTTGCGGAAGTGGCTCTTCACTGTTTTTTCATTTGACCTATGAACTTTTCATGAAATAGTCATAGATTTTTCTCTAATATTAAGATTTCATGAATCTGTCAGATGTACTGCCTAAATTATATAACCAAATTGCTGAACTTTTTAAATTGAACAGAGAAATATGTTTTCTTAAACTAAGGGATGATCAGCAACTCTCCTAAGCAAAACAGGATATGTAAAACTATAAATAGGAAGCCAGGAGTTTTCTCTTCGTGGTGGAGATATCTTCATGAAGGCCTTGAGCACTGTGTTTTGGAGCATTTGTAAAGCAATTAAAGAAGGAAATATAATTGATGCTGATTAAATACTTTGGGATGTTTCTTACAGATAAAAGATGAATTTCTACTTAAGCTACCCAAATCATTTCCCAAATAGTTATAGAAGTTTGTGGGAAACATATGAATCCTAAAGCTATTACTATAAAATTTTTGGACCTTTGGATTGACTTTTTTTTTTTTTTAAGAGACAGGGTCTTGCTCTGTCACCTAGGCTGCAGTGTAGTGGCATCATCATAACTCACCACAGCCTTGAATTCCTACACTCAAGCAATCATCCCACCTCAGCCTCCCAAAGTGCTGAGATTACCAGCAGGTGGACTGCTTTTCTAATGGGGAAAAAAATTGCAGATGTAATTTATCTAGGTTTTATTTTTTTAACAAACAAACCTTTATTGTCTAGAAATATACATAGTTTTCAAACACTGGAAAAGGTGCAGTTCTCTCATTTCCCCATTTTCTTCCTCTTCTTCAATACCCCTGATATAAAGGACATCATTATACACCTATGAAAACTTCACCCAGACATACAGACAATACCCCATCTACATATCCTTCTGTATTTGCAAGCTGAAGTTTCATACAGCCCTCTACAGATACCAGGCAGCCCTTGTACTCCGTTTCCCACGCCTCAGTCCACTGAGGAAAGGTTTGGGATTGAGAGGTAAACTCACCATAACTATGGGTGAATACTGTAGCCTACTCGCCTCCAACCAAGCTGCTGCCTGTGCCTGGTGACAGTAAGAGCTACCTCTGGCCCCGAACCACTGAACTTCAAGAGAATACCTATTTTTTTTCCCAACCCATAAATGATAACTTTGTGAGCTTCTCAGAAGAAACTGATAATTTTTGAAAAAATTGTATTCCAACTATAAGAAGTAACACTGAATTTAAAACAGAAAAGAACAGTAAGCTTCATTAATTATGTAACTCAGGACTTATTTTTTCCTCACTCAGAAAGAATGTTAAGTTTGTGTTAATCTTCAAGGAATTTTATGCATCCTGATATGACCTTGGCTCTGTTAGGAGTGTCTGAACAGAGTACAGACATACCTGGAGAGACTGAGACTTAACTCAATTTTCATAGGTATTTCAGTAACTATCCTTAAAGGCAATGTGAAATTGAAATTTTTTCCTCAAAATCGTCTGTGTAATTGGCATTCGAGGGAATGGTTTTAGGCAGTATTTTTAGAAATTTAACAGGAATGAAAACCAGAGGAAGACTCTAGAGCATTTTGTTCCATGGCAGGCAGTAAGCATTCTTTTTAGCTGAGCGTGACACTACAATGTATCATGTACTAAACAGTACCCTCCAGGGTGCGAGAGGTTTTTTTTTAGTTATTTATTGCAGTTTTCTCTCCAAGGCAGGGATTCTGTCTTTAACATCCGTGAGAGATTATCTAGTACTTTTCTATCTGGCATGGGGTATACAAAAGTCAGAGCACTGTTAAAGATAAAAGGACAATAATTGCCATATGATTTCAGAAGAAGGAGGTATTTCTGACTGGGTAATCAAAGATTCTTTACAGAGGAAGTGGCTCCTAAGAAGAAATTTCTTACCAACAGGTAGAGTTTCACTTGACAGAAGTCCTGGCCCAGGCAAACATGTAGGAGTTAGAAAGCACAGTATGTGTTTGAATAGACTTAAGGGCCAGAGCGTCAGTAAGATAGGCAGTGTTAATTGTCCTGGCAGGGCATAGTGCAGTAGAGCACTAAGTTTAGATCAGTAAATTATTTTCTTCAGTCCTAGTTGCGTTAGATCCCATTAGACCCGTGCTTCGTTGGGGTGAACTGGACAAGAATCTGTGATTCAGAATAAGTTGGATGTGTGCCAGAAGCCATGTACCTGTAACTATTTATGACATAGCCATCCTTGTAAATTCTATTCACTATAGGCTTCAAAATATTTTTGTTAGCAAACATTTGCTTTAAAAGATGCACGTCTATATCATCTACATAAAATTCCAGGTTTCATACTGGTAGATTTTCAAATGCAAAACAAATGCTTTTTCTTCCTCATAGACACAGGGAACATGGAGGTGCTGCACCTATATGGAAGTGAGGAACAGAAGCAGCAGTGGCTTGAGCCTCTTCTTCAAGGGAACATTGCCTCCTGCTTCTGCATGACAGGTAAAGGCAGAGCACCATTCTCCCCTTGTGCAGACAGTCGGCCTGGAGTTATTACGGATGAGTTTAAGAAGCATGGGTTGTGGCTCTGTGCTCCTGACAAATTTGCCTGTGGCTAAAGAGGCGAACGTTTGTTTTGAGCCTGATTTTAAATTTTGACATTTTTAAATGTGCAGAATAAATGTTTCCTCCCCTTTGGGAGAACACCAGGGAATGTTTTCTGGTATGCTGCTTTGGCGTTAGCAGCAGAGTAAAGCTAGTTTTATAATCTTTTGACTTCCATTCCTAAAATTGCCACCTATGGATATTAAGATCCTTTTTGTCTTTTGGTAGGAAATGTTAATCTTTGTGATAATTTGTGTATGAAATACTTGAGTATATAATATAATACTCCACTCTTCTATAAATCCAGAAAAATAGAACTTTCACCAGTGGTGGACATACGGCTCAAATTATAACCGTGTGGGAAAATAAAAACCATGTTAAGTGAAAACAAATTTGGTACCGTTTATACATAGGAAGCAATACTTGACAATTCTTCAAAAAAGAAAATCATTGTTTCATGAATGAGTTTAGAATTAAACTGAATTTTATTTAGCCATAATTTTGGAATCCTTTCAACAATGGCCAACTTTTATTGTTTTCTGTAACATTGTATATATTTATACAGTAGTCCCTCCTTATCTGCAGGGGATACATTCCAAGACCCCCACTGGATGCAGGAAAACAGGGATAGTACCTACGTATACTATGTTTTTTTTCCTAAATATACATATCTAAGATAAAGTTTAATTTATAAATTAGGCACAGTAAGGGATTAACATTAATACCTAATGTTGAAAAAATTACAACAGTAGTCCAAGTGGCACACAATTTGAAAAATATGAATTGTTTATTTCAGGAATTTTTCATTTAATATTTTCATAATGCCGGTACTGAAACCTCAGATAAGGGAAGAGGACTACTGTGGTAGCAGGACTGGTCTCCGTTTAGATCAGTAAGAGGCATTTCTTGAACACTTATAGTTATGATTCTTTCATCTACAAAGTACTATTTAGGGATTACAAATAAGTAGTACACACACACAGTTCCCTTTCTCAAAAACTGAGTCTCAAGTCTTAGAAATAGAACACAAGGATTACCCGCAGGCCCCTCTGAAGTTAAAGAGCAGCACATTAGCAGTTGCAGATTGCTATGATTAAGGGCCAGCCAGCTGTGAAGCGCCATGCAGTCAAGCAAGTGTTTTAGGAGGTCCTGTGGAAAACTTTCTGAAGACATCACGTATTGAGCAGTCTTTAAGAATGAGACGCATAGAAATTGGTGAAAGCATTCCTGGTGGAATTTGCATAGCGCAGTTAGATATTGTTTAATATAGGTGTGTAACTCCTCATTGTGAAATTAGACTAGCTTTAAAAAAAGAAAACAGAAATTGTTTAAAATGGTAAAATGTATGGTGGGGGAAGTGTGGCTTGCAGATATCTAGCATAGATTTCTGTTGTGAGAAGCAGAAAATTGTATTTTTATCTGTTTTTGATGGCGAGAGAAAAGGCTGAATAAATTGTATCTTAAGTCACGTATTGATGAGATAGCCAAAATCACAATTCAGAATACTGATCCCCAGTGTTCAATATACTTCATTCATTCATTCTTCTCATGCACATATATCAAATGCCTACAGTGTCCAGTAGGAGAATCAGAGTGGAATGCGGAAGGACAGGAAGATGAGAGAGACAAGAATGCCTGTGTCCTTAACAAATTTCCGTTCCCTTATCTAAGCCTCTTTGCAAACTGATGATATCTGCAAATCCACCATTTGTTTATTTATAGAACCTGATGTAGCTTCAAGTGATGCCACAAATATTGAATGCAGCATCCAACGGGATGGAGACAGTTATATAGTTAATGGCAAGAAATGGTGGAGCAGTGGTGAGTGTTCAGCCTGAAGTTTTTGTACTTAACAGATTGCCCCTGTGTGCCAGATGCTATGCAGAATAATGCTATGATACTTAGTTAGTAGTCATCATCATAATTCTTTAAATTCTTCCTTTTTAAGCATTTTCAAATTTAGAAATCATAAAAAGGAAAAGAAATTTTAAAATAACATGTCTTGATTAAATGAAGTTTATTTTAAAACAGAAAACATCTTTTTTTTAATAATTTGAAGATAAAATAAGTTGGTACATGCTATTTTTGACCAATACAATTTCTATTAAAAAATCTAATTTTAATAGAGGCATATTTCATGATTTAAAACAATTTACATACAGTTCTATAAAGATAAGCTGTGTATGTTATTAAAAATAATTTATTGTGATATGTATTTTCATTACTTAAAAATATAAATGTTTAAATAAAAAATATGACATTTTGGCTCAATGCCTGTAGCTCAAGCGGCTAGGACACCAGCCACATACACCGGAGCTGGTGGATTTGAATCCAGCCCAGGTCTGCCAAACAACAATGACAACTACAACCAAAAAATAGCCAGGCATTGTGGTGGTCACCTATAGTCCCAGCTACTTGGGAGGCTGAGGCAAGAGAATCGCTTAAGGCTCGGCGCCTATAGCTCAACCGGCTAAGGCGCCAGCCACGTACAACTAAGGTGGCGGGTTCGAATCCCCAGCCCGGACCCGCCAAACACCAATGAC